TAAACTAACGTAACTAACGTAACTACGTACGTACGTACGTACGTACGTACGTACGTACGTACGTACGTTACGTACGTACGTTACGTTACGTTAGTTAGTTAGGTTAGGTTAGGTTAGGTTAGGTTAGGTAGGTAGGTAGGTAGGAGGAGGAGAGAGAGAGAGAGAGAGAGAGAGAGAGAGAGAGAGGGCGAGTGTTACCTTAACACTGATTTCCACTTTGTTTTTGCCGATAGTTTTGCCCTCCCCCACAGCAACAACCTCACCTCCTTGCGGTTTGCTCTGGGCAGTTGTGGGTAAGAGAATGCCACCACCAGTTTTCTCCTCCGCAATCTTTATCTTGACAAGGACTCGATCACCTAGAGGCTTGATGCTCGTGTACTTCAACAACAGATAACATATAGCATCAGGAAACAAAAATGATAGGACGCATTGCAGAAATGCTCATTAGTTTGAGAATAATCTAATCACTAGGTAGTGCGCCAAGAAATATCTTCCCTTTTTTTTTTGTCGACAAGTAGTGTGAAGAATAGAAGTATAGTTTTTTCTGTTTCTAATATTATGGACAGCTTAGGACTACAGCTTAGAATAAGATATTGCAAAGCCCCAAATGGATAACAGGAATAAATAGAATCAAACTTAGCAGGTGGCATAGAACCTCATACAGAACTTTAGAAACACCGGCAGCCTGTGATATGGAGAAGGGACTACAAAAGCTGGAAGCACTATTGCAACTCAAGTCTAATGAGAAATCAAATGAATAAGATAGAGAGAAGAGCCAAGTTGAAAATTAAGAAATGCAAGAGCTTCCATTTAAAAGAATAGAGGTTCATTATGGTCTCCGGATACATTTAAAAGGGGATAAGAATGACAAAGCAATTGCTTCTTTTCTTTTTTTTTGGGATAAATGACATTTAATTATAGTAATAAGAGAGTACAGAGTTAAGAGAAGAAGGGGCTAACCAAAGGTGGAAAGTTCAAAGTACAAAACCCTTATGGAAAGGGGGGTGAGAAAGAGTAGAATAAAAAAGCCATATTTTTAAAGCTTACAATGAAAGCAACAAAGCAACCAGCAAAAAGATGTCAATCCCAAAAAGTTGAAGACCATCTTGAGCTGCTCCATGATAAAGCAATTACTTCCACCGAAAAACAAGAAAAAGGATAATAAGGAAATTACAATGTGGACTCAGTTTGCCAACAAATTAACTAGAGCGCCTTATAGGAGTGTCGTAGGATCACTTATGTACCTAACTCAAGGAACAAGAACAGACCTGGCCTTCGCCCGATGTATGAATGGCAGATTCCAAAGCAATCCTGGTATTGAGCATTGAGAGCAGTTAAGAGGATCTTTAGATACTTAAAAGGGACGGTCAACTACACACACACCTATGGGGATGTGTCAGACCTAGTTGTACTTGGATACTCGGATCCCGATTTCCAAGGAGATCCTAATGATCTTAAGTCCACCTCGGGCCACCTGTTTGTATATGGTGGGGAATATCTTGGTTCTCTAAGAAACAAAACACGATAGCCTTATCTATGATGGAATCTAAATACGTCGCTTGTTGCCTAGCAACCATGGAAGCAATATCGACCAAAATTCTTGAACAAATTAAGCTATGAACCATTAAGATGTGGGACCATGAGAATAATGTGTGATAATAAGGCAGTAATAAGTGTAACAAAGGAACCAATATTCCATCGCAAGTCTAAGCACATAAGAGCGGACTGCTACCATATTAGACAAGATATTGAGATTGGAGAGGTAGACCTAGCTTATACCCTCAATGCGGCTATGCATGCAGACACTATGACCAAAGGGGTATTGATGGGTACATTTGTAAGACACGCTCATGGGATGGGTCTAAGCGCATATGATTGAGCATGCATTTATGAGCATTACTGCTTGAGAGCGTTTTGAGCATTTGTGGTCATGTGCATTACTATTGTAAGTTTACTTAAGCATCTCTGATCGTATTTGTGTGAGCATCTATTTAATTTATGTATGAGAATGATTGTCCATTGCAAGGTCTCAAAAGGCCAAGTGGGAGAATGTTGGAGTTATGACCTTTCAAGGCCTTGATTCTAGCATTCCTCAGAGGAATAATCTAAAACCCTTGTCCCACCGGATCTTAGTAAACTAGGATTTGGAAGAACATTAAACCCTGATCATGAGCTTGTTTTTAAGGGTTTTTATACCGAGAGGTCGTGGAGGGTTTCCTCTGGACAAGTCGGTTAGTACATACCTCATGATCAAGTGAGCCAGAGCATGTTTATTTTGATGGTTTCTTGAGTATTACTGCGAGCACGAGTACTTCTGTAAACCCAGTGTGAGTCGGCTAGGCTTTGAGAGAACATTAGCCAAATTCTCTGATCATGAGCCTACTCACAGCATGTACATACACAATTGGAAATTAGTCAATGTTTCTCAAGGTAAGATCCCCTCAGAGAGACACACATGTGCTAAGAGAGAGCACCTCAGTATCAACAAGAGTGCATGTCCCTCGGGGATGCACCTGCAATCCACTACAAATTTGGGACCTAGCTATCTGTTTGGATTGGCTTTGATGAGCTAAGCATCTTAGCTAGATTATGTGGGCCATGGGCATTGTTTGGTCAGTCCGAGAAAACTGACTTAGGGTTTCGGATGTAGCTGAGTGGAGTACCCTAGTCCCCTTCTTCAATTCATATAGGATCCTAAATACCCTCATATATTTTTTGATGATATTAACTAATTTAAAATCGTGAAAAATAGTTAAAAATATTTTTAGGATTTTTTGAATTTTTTGAGAATTTTCTGTGAGCAAAATCGAGAATTTCGTAATTGTTCAAGATAAATGACAGTCAAGAACACCCATACATGTGGATCATGTGAGGCCCAGGTGACCAATGGGCTCCACATATTTCCTATATGGGTGCCATGCCACACCTTATGGGTGAAATGAATAGTATGGTGTGGGGTACTCTTTATGACTGTGTTTGGTTTGGTAAGATACCTTAATTAACTTTATTTTGTTTTATGCACATCTGTGGCACATGGCTCACATGTGGCTTGGCCCATAGGATTATATTTTCTTCCTTAATCTATTCTCCCTTGTCTAATTACAAAACAAGGCACAAAGCTACTTTTGGTATGGAAAGATTTGCTTGGATGTGAAAATATGCAATGACACTTGTAAAGGGCTAACAGGGGCGAGAAAAGATCAGATCAGGGCCGGATCCGACCAGATCCGGATCCAAGAATAGTTACGTCGGATCCATGTTGGATCTTGGTCCAAATTGGATCCTAGATATTCGGATCCAGACCTGCATTCGAATAGTATACCTCATATTCGGATCCAAATCCGAATTACTATATACTATTTAAAAAAAGTACATATATAAAATAAAAATTTACTATTTAAAAACCAGGTTGGATCCAGATCGGATCCACCTATACCTGGATCCAAACCTAACTTTTAAGTCCATACCCAGATCTGCATAGGGTCCGAAATCCGGGTTTCAAATCCAGATCGGATCAATTCTCACCCCTAAGGGCTAGCCAAATGGCATGCCATATGCATAAAGCTACTTTATGCAAATTTAAAGGGGGAAGAGAGATAGAGAGAGAGAGAGCCAGAGAGAGAGTTCCCTGCAACATCTTGCCCCTTCTTTTGGATATTGTGGTGGATGTGATGCTTACATATTAGGGTTTTGACATTGATGTTAAACCTTGAATAAGGTGTTTTTATAATTGAAATAGGGTCCCCTTAATGGGATAATGGTACTTTAATCTCAGTTATCTATATATAGTCAATAGATGAGTTGAATGGCTAGGATCTTGGCCTCTCTCACCCCTTGGATGCCCTTAATCAATGGTCCATATTTAATCACCAAGGAGCTTCAAAAACCGCAATCTATATATACCCTTTTTCTCCCATTTTCACTCAAGACTTGAAATCTTTGGAGAGAAAGTGGGACCAGCCAAGAATGGCATGCCCCCCTCATCCTTTCTTTCCTTTTGTGATCAAAAGCTTAAGAGAAGAAGGAAGAGAGATAAACCCCCACCCCACCACAAATCCCCCCCACCCCTTGAGCCTAAAAAAGTACTCATATGTTGCTTCCCTTTAGTTGATTAACCTTGGACCTTCTTATGAATATTATTTTATATTTTAAGCTCCACAATATGTTGCTTCCCTTTAATTGATTAAACTTGAACCCATGATCATACGCTATCGATAGTGAGCGTACACAAGGAGTGTAAGCAATCGTCGGTGGTGAACCGGCCATATGAGATAGAGGACGAGTTCAAGGTGTATAAAACAAAAATTTTCAAAGTTACAATGCCAAAGTACACTCAATTACATAATTATAGCACACCTTATGTGCCTATAAATTACACATTTCCTCATATAGAATCACTACGAATTACATGAAAGGTGTGCCTACAAATCACTCATTTCCTCACATAGAATCACTACAAATTACATGAAGTTGGTCCTAATAAAATTCCCGCTCTATTAAACACTTGGAGATTGAGTCTAATATCAAATTACACCATCATGACAGAAAATTACAGCAACATAAACATAGGCTTCTTCAGACATACACTTGGATAATTTACAAAACGCGAAACACTCAATCTCCACTTATAGCGACACAAACCAAATGTGTGCACTTTATCTAATATCATGAAAGCCATTAAAATAGCACATACACAGGGTTTACCACCGAGGATTACTTACACTCATTGGACGCCGACTACTAATAGAGCAAGACCATGGATCCAAATTTAATCAATCAAAAGGAAGGAAAAACACTATGGAGCATAAACCCACACTCAAAAAAATAAAACTCCAATTTACGATGCTCAAAATGAGAGGCTGATATGGAGAAAAGTGAGAGTATGTATGTGGCACACCTAGGCTTGAAGTGAGTGATATGGTACAATGCTCAAGCATAGCTATGGGAGAATTTCGGTATAATGAATTCTTGAAAATTTAAGATTCCTAATGTGATAAAAACCACTTTAGCTTGTTGCAACTCCAAAGAAATCTTAGAAAATGTAGGATACAAATTGCTCAATGAAACTTAGGTTAATCTATGCCAACCAAAGCATATGGGGAAACAAGGTAGGTATAAATGCATGAGCTAAAACCAACTAGGTGAGATCAAGATGAGTAACTTACCTTGCTCTTGAGGTGGAGTTACAACTAGAACATGAAACTTGGATGGTGTTGAAACTTCAATGCATGACTACCATGCATAATCCTCATTAATAGACTACTCAAAAGGATATATATTCTCTCTCTAACAAGGCTTTTGACCACAAGGTAAAGAAAAGGAGGATGGTGTGCCACTCTTGGCTGGTCTCACTCTCTTTTCAAAATTTCAAGTATGTCATGAAAATGTGGGAGAAAAAGAGTACATAGAGGGTAGTGTTTTGAAGGTTCCTTAGTGATTAAAGAGGGCATCCAAAGGGTGAGAGAGGTCAAGATCTTGACCATTTAACTCATCCATTGGCAATGATTCATCCATTGGCAATGATATAGAAGGCTGAGATTAACGCACCACTATCCCCTTAAAGAAACCCTAATTCAAATCGGAATTCAAATTTTAACCAAGGTTTAATTATGATCTCAAAACCCTTAAGTTGAAAGCCTTACATCCACCATAAAATGATCAAACCAAGAGCCAAGATAGTGTAGAGAGAATTCTCTCTCTGAGTGGGACGTCCCACACCCTCAGCTCTCTCTCCTTTGATTTGAGTATGCATAAAGCAGCTTTATGCAAATGGCATGCCATTTGGCAAGCCCCTTAAGAGTGTCATTGCATGTCTTCCCATCCAACTAAACCTTTCATATGAAAAGTGGCCTTTTTCCATGTTTCGTAATTGGGCAAGGGACAATAATTTAATAAATAAAATACAACCCTCTGGGAACCATCTATCTGCCACATGGGTGCCACATCACACTCTATGGGGGACATTTGATTTTTCTTTTTAGAGAATAGCTAAGGAAGATATTGCATCCAACTCAAGGACATAACTAGCTATGATTATCCTCATAATGCCGTTCAAAGACCAGCATATACAAATCTCTTACTTACATAACCCATAACCGGTAATATTTTACATAAAATATTTGCCATAACCCAGTTACATACATGTTATACATGAATTGGGGCACCCCTCTCAATTCCTTCCCAATCCATTTTAATCATTCCTAATCATAATCTTGCTTTTATCATTCACTCTATTGTTTCTCTAAATATCTTGCTTCCTCCAAATACAATAATCTAAAGAAAAATTTGACAATATAGCATCCAATGCATGCATTTAACCTCAAACCATATACCACTTCATTTTATTCAACAAAATTTCCAAAAGAATGTTCAAACTTTGCACTGCTCCTATTACAATCCCAATACAAACCTAGAATGTCACTTGATATCCAGATTCAATAGAGTTTAAATGGACCAGAATTTCTTCAAAGTTCAAACAGTCTCTTGCAAAATGAATATAAGCTAGCAACTAATATCAAACTAGTAAACATTCTAAACAACAATGATCGATGAACAGCCTGCCATCACTTGCAGTCATCGATCCAATAGCAGTGAACACAGCAAAAATCTAAGGTCGTATCTTAATCCACAATCATTTCTAGTGCACATCTGCATAGTTGTCACAGATGACACCAGAATCACGCGTAAACACGTAAACACCATAAAGAAAGCAGAATGTAGCATAGCACATTAGGCCGTGTTGATGACCTCAGAACCTCAAACACTTCGGCACTGTTGCATTCATACCAATCTAGAGAAGCATGAATATGCATTTCTCATAATAGAGTTTCTTTCCTTTTTCTAGCAATTTCTCAATCTTAATGTTCATAGAAAAACGATCAAAATTTCCAAGGGAACATATGTTTACAAGGGTAGGCCTGTAGAATTACAACTGTTAATAGCGTGAAAACAAAGAAGAAAGAAGTACCCCAAATTTCTTAGCAAGCTTAGGCCATCCATTCAGCTCTATGGCCAAATAATTCATCATTCTCCCTAGAAAAGAGTAGCATATTTTCATTATATTTTTTAGTTTTTAGATGTCACAAACTTTAGGAACCCATCTAAAACCAGATCACTACTCCATGAAATGAGAACAAAAAAAATTTAAAAAAAAAACCAAATCCATCTAAATCAAACAAACAACCACAAACAAATCAGTCTGATATCAAACTACGCATGCACCAATCCACTTCATTAATCAACTAGTGAATGTTAAAAATACAGGAGTAAAGACCAAAAATAACCAGAGAGCTAATCAATTCTTAGTAAAAGAAAAACTGAAAGACGGGGGAGGGAGGGGGGAGCCAAAAAATGGTTATTCAATTGATAAATCCTAAACCCTAAAACACAAAGCCTTGGATCCTTGCACATAAAAAAAATGGAGGTGCGAAACAACCTTTGGGGCCACAACCGTGGCTGCCTTGGCCACAAGGCCTCTGAAACTCCTGAAGACTGGGCACAACGGCCTCACAGAAGAAACCCTAACAAGAGAGGGTCTCAGTCCGTCGAAAGAGGGAAGGCTTCTGCTTGAAACAGAGGAACCGGCAAACTGAATAGAAGCCATGAATCTCTGCACAGAACCCAGGACTAATAAGCAATCTGAAGATAAACATAGAGTTCCAAATCCTTTTAAACAAATTTCTAGATTAATAGAGCAACACTCAAGTAGTTAGAGAGAGAAAATGCAGCTCCAGCAAGACCAACAAGGAAACACTGAAATTGTTAGTTGGAGAAGCAAAAGGAGAGAACTCACAGTTGCAGAAGGAACCGAAAGAAACACAAGTGTAGAAGAGAGAGAGGAAAACTAAGAATTTCAGGGCTAAAATTAGGGCTCTAGGGTTTCCACCTGCATAGAGAGAGAGAGTGTGACCTAGTGAGAAGATAATGCTAAATGCTAAAACCCTTTACATAAGAAGGGGCAATGGAATCATAGACAAAACAAGGAGTGGGTTCTAGAATGTTGTAGAGCATTTGGAAATGACTAAAATACCCCAATTGTTTGTAATACGTTGGAAATGGCTCAGGCCCGCTGGACGGACCCGACCGGACCGGTTCACTAGCCAGCTGGCGAAGTTTAAAAGCACGGTTGGTGACCTTATTGTTTCACTTAAAAATTGGTATGGATAGGGGAATCTGCAGTCTACATCAACAATCCGGCCAAATAAACTAAAGAATAAAAAAATTAGGGACTGAAAATTTGAAAAGTATTAAAAAATAAAATGTGATTGGTTCTCTAATACAAATTGGCTGGTTCAATGCCAAAAATTAACCAATTCATGGGAGTACCAGCCCTTTCTTGATATTTAGTTGGATTTGGATAAGCTTGATTGATTCCTAAACTAAATCAGTCAGTTCCAATTTGGATCACCAATTTTAAAAACGTTAGTAAGATGGGTGATCTATATATATATATATATAGGGAAAAGATCATGTCAGCCCATGACCTGACTGCTACAGTAAACGCCTACGGCCCAGATTGAATCTGGGCCGATCTGACGGTCACGATCTCATTTTGTATTTAAATTTTTATTTTTATTTTTTTACAAATTCAAATCACTTGAAATTTGAGACGTCTATTCTTCAAAAATAGTATAATCTAATAAAAATATAAAAAATAATAATTCGTAAAATATAAATTGATTAAAATACCCCTAAAATGTTTTGAGGGTATTTTGATCAATTTATATTTTGCAAATTATTTTTTTGATATTGTTATTTGGTGCGCCTTGATGAGAATAATGAACTCTCCAAATTTCAAGTGATTTGGATTTGTAGAAAAATAATTAAAATTCAAATACGAAATGATG